TCTTATGTTTATTTGCCTCAGTGTATGTATCGGACACATATTTAATATGTGTACACATAAAAGCCATGTGTAAACACACATACTATTGATTTGACTTGATGGTCGGTCTTGATAAGTCTAGGATCACCTTTTTCCCATACATTTATTGGCATACTAATTAGAGAATATATGTGAGTTCAAGAGGGGCGACATATCAAAATCTCAATCCTGAAATATTCGAAAATCTCACACAATCTAATGTATCTACAAAAAATATTTTCATTTTACGCATCTAAATCTATCTATTCGTATCGGGCTTTTTGCAGGAACTCTAAGAGAAGAGGTGACAATACAAGGGGCAAAAATGAACCACTTTTCAGTCAAACGTGAACCAGCTCGTGATTGGCTGATTTGATGTGCGTAAGATAGAGATAGACATAGATAAAGATAGAGATAGAGATATAAATTAATGAGTAAGAAGCCAATTGTCACCTCTTCTTCTTAGCAGGAAATCAATAAGGTAGGTAATTCGCGAAACTTAACTTTCAAAATTGCACGTTTAATGTGTTTAACTGTACTTAACTTTACTTAGACTTCACAGCGTGGTCGGTGATATCTTGCAGACAGACAGCGTGTCCATCTAGTCATAGACAAACTTATGGAATGCTTCTTTCGTATATATTCTCGTTACTTTTTATAGAATGTTTACAACGTGACTTAGCCTAGATAGCATGATGTTTCGTCGTTGAGTTCTCGGTCAGGTAAACATAAACATGGCAATGGCATTGGATGCGACGACGCATCCATGCAGCTCGTTTTATTGTGGTGTATACAATGAGTGTTTTATAAACGGGTTTTTCCGCTGTGTAACTGTAACTGTGTAATGGGAAATGTGACGTGTCAGATGGACCAAAATGACGAAAAGTTCAAAAACGAACCAAATTATTTTGCTGTTAAATAACATAATAAAAACTTTTCAAACTGTATTTATTCAATCTTGAAAAATTTGGAGGGTAAGTGTGTTAGCGTTACGTAATTTTTGGGGGAAGGGAGTCTTGTTGGCTGGTAAACGGCTGGACAATGCGTAGCATTGATACATCGCGTATCTGCAGGTATAAAATAGACCCCAATAGCGGTCCTTAGCCTCTTGTCCAGTAACTCCTATCCCTACCTCCCCGCGGTGCCGGCTGGGGTACAAGTAATCATAGGGAAGATCGAGTAACCAACCCCGGTGGGACCTTGGTCGTATGCTGACAGGGAAGGGAAGGGACTCCTCTATTCAGAGAGTGCAGTCTTCGAGCGTCTGTTCACCATGGAGGTGTGGCTCAAAACGGCGTCTGTTATCCATGTTAGGAGCGGCTGATCAACGCCCTGGTGCCAGCGTGGGACTCTTAACAGTGCTGTGCACGATGGTCCCCCGGCGAGACAATGGGGGTTGTTGCAGGCCGTACAAGCCAGCCGTTAAAAAAAAACAAAAGTAAGGAAGCAAGAAATGTAATTACGGACCGGAACATTCGGCAAAGACCCAAGCAACGGAAACGGAATAACGATTGGAAACTCGGAACATGGAACTGCAAGTCTCTCAATTTCTTGGCAAGTAACCACATTCCGAATTATTGAGGGTCCGCAAGTTCGACATCGTAGCGCAGCAGGAGGTTTGCTGGAAGGGATCGTTGGTACATACGTATAGGGATGGTTATACCAACAGGTAGAAACCATCGATTTTAAATTGGCTCTCTACTTGACTAGCCTATTGGTCTCAAGTAAATCGATTAACGTACGCCATTCTAGTCGAAATTCTAGTACTACACAATGTTTGTTTTGATTCACTATGAAAGTTTGACAGATAAAATGAGGGGTTTTGAATTTTGCTATGTTTCGAGGGGTGAATCGACTAGCTTGGGACCTCGCTTGGGACCGAAGATAGTACCAGAGCTTAGCCAAACAGTTGAGTACGATTTTCGGGACCTACTAGTCTTAGAGTTACCTCTATGGTTATACCAACAATCAATACGAAACTAACGATTTTAAATTGGCTCACCACTTTAGTAGCCTATTGGTCCCAAGCAAACGATTAACGTACCCTATTCTAGTTGAAATTCTATTACTACACTATGTTTGTTTTGATTCGCTATGAAAGTTTGACAGATAACATCAGGGGTGTGTGGATTCATGCAGAACATGCAGGGGTGAGTGAAATAGCTTGGGACTGCTTGGGACCGTTGTTCTGGTACTGAGTGAGCCAAAAATAATAATGATTTTCTTCGGGACCCAGTGGTCTTAGAGTTACCTCTATGGTTATACCATCTACCAGAGCTGCGGCAATACACATGAGCTGGGTACAGCTTTCATCGTGATGGGCGAAATGTAGAAGTGGGTGTTTGGGTGGTGGCCAATCGATAGCAGAATGTGCAAGTTGAGGATCAAAGGCCGTTTCTTTAATGTCAGCATAATCAACGTGCACAGCCCTCACTAAGCAAGTGACGATGACGATAAAGACGCTTTTTACGCGTAGCTGGAACGGGAATACGATAGCTGTCCAAGCCATGACGTCAAAATTGTCATCGGAGATCTTAACGCTCAGGTAGACCAGTAGGAGGAATTCAGACCGGTTATAGGAAAGTTCAGTGCTTACCAGCTAACGAACGCCAACGACCTTAGATTCATCGATTTCGCCGCCTCTAAGAACGTGGCTATACCAACAATCAATACGAAACTAACGATTTTAAATTGGCTCACCACTTTAGTAGCCTATTGGTCCCAAGCAAACGATTAACGTACCCTATTCTAGTTGAAATTCTATTACTACACTATGTTTGTTTTGATTCGCTATGAAAGTTTGACAGATAACATCAGGGGTGTGTGGATTCATGCAGAACATGCAGGGGTGAGTGAAATAGCTTGGGACTGCTTGGGACCGTTGTTCTGGTACTGAGTGAGCCAAAAATAATAATGATTTTCTTCGGGACCCAGTGGTCTTTCACATTCATCTAGTGATGGCCAATTTTCATTCGAATAATCGATTAATCGATTAAACCGAAAATTAAAATAGTTGTAATCGGTTATATCATGCTGATATGAGCATTAACTTTTCCAGAGGATCTTCACCCATCGTTTCAAACATATGCTGCACTCTCATTGGTGGAAAAATGACAGCCCAGCGAACATAAAATAATCGATTAGTTGTTAATCGAATAATTTAAAAAATGGGACATCTCTGATTTTGGTGTGATTGTTTTGATAAAAAAAGAGCAAAATTTCATCTTTACCGAGGGGGCAGCAAAACCACAAAATTACCTTGCATACACCATATTCATTGAATGAAAAGGACCGCGAAAGAGGACACTAAAATATAAAGTTTTTCTTCCGACTGTTTCATCTTAGTATTCTTCTTTGGTACTACTTCAAAACGCATTTATTACTTTAAGTACTTTTGAGTGCATTTTAACTTCAACGCACCGGTTCATTGTATTGCGTGCCCCTTGGTCAGCACCTTTCACGGCGCAAATATCGATTCGGACCACTACCTTCTAATGGTCAAGGTGTGCCAAAAATTTTCCGTTGCCAACAACATTCCGTAGCGCCACGGTACAATCTGGAGCGACTGAAGCTGCCCGAAGTCGCAACTGAGTACGTGCAATGCCTCGACGCAGCGTTGCCGGATGAGGGAGAGCTCACCGAAGCCCCTCTTGAGGACTGCTGAAGCAACGTAAAAGCAGCCATTAACAGCGCTGCTGGGTTCGTGGAGCGTAATCGACGGAACAATAGGTTCGACGAAGAGTGTCAGACGGTTTTTGACGAGAAGAACGCAGAGCAGGTGGCGATGCTGCAGCAAAGAACCCATCATAATGTGGAGCGATATAAACAGAAGCGAAGACTGCAAACCCATCTTTTCTGGAATAAGAAGCACCGCCTGGAAGAGCTGGAGTGCGAAGAAATGGAGCAGCTGTATCGTTCTCAAGAAACACGCAAGTTCTACAAGAAACTCAATGCCAAGGCTTTGTGGCGCGAGCCGAAATGTGTCGGGATAAGGAAGAAGTTATCTTAACGGACGAACGTGAGGTGATTGAAAGGTGGAAGCAGCACTACGATGAACATCTGAACGGCGGAGAGGCGCAGGACCAAGGCGGCAGGAGGAATGGCTTCGTCAGTACAGCAGATGAGGGGGACGTCATGTCGATAAAAAAAAAGCATCCTCAACTTCACCTACCGTGGGAGCTGTCATAGCTCCCACGGTAGGTGAAGTTGAGGATGCTTTTTTTTTATTCCTTAAGATTTATAGCCGTAGGCTAGTTCATCTCCGTAAAGGGTGGGAAAACCTTAGAAAGAGGTCCCCCAGCCGCATTGCTTGAGTATCATGCTGCTTCAACCTTTGATAATCTACTTAGCTAAAACATATAAACCATGGACCCAAAGGGTAAGGACCTCCTTCACGCGATTTTTTTTTTGGTTCACCTAGCTGTTTTTTTTTTAGTGTACCTGTTGCACCCGGTACTAGAGCAAAAGACAGCAATTTGTACCAGAACAGGTGTCAAAAATGACACAGACAGCATAACTGCCAGCAAAAAAAAAGCGCGGTACCCGCTGCCGTAGCAGTCAGATTGAGCGAGTATGTATAAATAAAATTCAAACAAAAAAATCCGAACAAGGGCGATTTCTTTCGCAATGATGACACTCAGGAGAATTTCAATACCTAAAAGCATCTATTTTCCCCGCTCAGAACAATAGACAATAAATAAAACTGAACTATATACTGACTGCTCTACTGTACGGAAACACATTTATCACGATTGGTATCGAAACGGAAATTTTCAGTTGATTAAAAATGCCCACATCAGAAGTGAGAAAAACGTTGTTCAACATCTACACAACAGCAGCTCTGATAGAATTATTCACCTTCGGTTACACAATAATGTATAGATTTGCCAGCTTTGAGTAAGACTTCCATAGATAGAAACATTTCGCTAACAGTAGTAGCAGAATATTTGGAATAACTTTATTCGACTTCCACGCGAAGAACACATAAATACACTCAGCTACGATTCGAAGCTAGGACTCGAATAAATACTGAAACCACGATACTTACCTTTCTTGGAAGCTTTAGGTTTTTCGCTTATGATCGCGCTGCTGTTCGGGAATCTCGTCCTGCAGTTCCATGATATGATCCACCGGCTGCGGCCGCCCGTCCTCGCCGATCTTGCACGGCTGAACGATGCCCTGTCGCTGCAGTTTATCCATCAGTGCCACCAATTGCATCGCTTCGTACTCCTTCTGCTCCTCGGACATGCCTTCCAGCGGGTTCGGCTTCGGTGGTTCGTAGCAGCCCAGCACCGGATTGATGGCATGCTGGATCTGTTTGTACTCTTCCGTATCGCTGTCCTCGGAATCGGACGAATACTGTTCCGTATTGCCCTGGCGGCCGCCCAGCAAACCACGATTCGCAAACAGACCGGCCGCATTGCCACAGCCCGTGTATTTGATCATCCGACCGACGTTTTCCTTGCACAGGACGAAGAGCAATTCCACGGACAAGTCGGCAATTTGAGTGATCGGGCTCGTTAGCAGCGAGCAAAGGTAGTTGCGTAGCTCTGTGCCGACTTCCGGTCGTTCTTTGACGTTCTTCAGAGGAGGAAGCACTTCCGATCGAACGTAACGCCGATTAAGGGCCGTCGCTCGAATCGTCTTGATCAGGACCGTCAGAATAGGCGATAACAGTTCGTACTGATCGGACTTCTTTTCTGATTTTTGGAAAACCCGTCTCAGAAACTCCACCAGCACGTGAAGAAAGTAAACGTTCTTTCCTTCGAATGGCACAACGGTTTTGGAATCCAGGTCTTCCGGGTTCAACGGTGAGACAAGCTCGCTATAACAGCTGACCGGAACACTGGTTAGGAGATTGACAATGTTCGATTGGAGAGAAATGATCTTATCTCGATTCAGGGTGCGATAGAAGAACAGATCGTAAACGACTACTGCTAAACGATGGAATTGATTGGCTTCTTCTTCCTCCGGAACGGCATTCAAGTGTGTGCGAACGGTTAAATTGAACAGAACCTTCAGCACTTCATTAATCAACTCGAGATCTTTGTCCTAAAACAAATCATTCAGATCAGCTTTACCCGCAAAAACAATTAATACAAAGACTTACACTAAACTCCTTCGTTTCGGTTGCCTGTCCCATGAACAGATCCAACGTTTCCACCAGGTACACCAATCCAGTTCCTCTCAAACCTTCGCTCGAATATCACAGTTGATTGCCGTTAGTAGGAACAGCAACTTCATATCAAAGTATCTAATATCATAGCAAACATTTCCGTCCCTGAAAAATATCAACTTCATTTTTGACTTTGTCCACCCAAACACCCTCAGCATCGCCCTTCCTACTTGTAAGTTTTGATCCTCCGCATAATGCCCTCGGTGGAAGAATTGTTCAGACACAGCTTCTGGCCCTCCTGGCACTTGCTGCTCTGGAAAATCAAATTGCTCAAGCACTTCAACGCTTCCACCTGGACCTCTTCGCTCGCTCGGCACTGGCAGCTTTCGCCACCGATCCCTGCCAAACCGAGCAAACAAGCCAGCTGCTGCTCCCGGACCGTCTCGTTCAGGTAGGTCTTGTCGCGACTGAGCAGCTTGATCGCCACCAGACAGTCCTCCCGGTGCTTCTAGTTTTGTGCTTCTTTTTCAGGTATTCTTCGATAGCTACTATTTAGATAGAATTTCTCCGTTGTTCCACCAACCGAAAGCTTCAGTCCTTCGATTATTTTCTTATAGATACCCCCAGCAGTGCTGATTGATGTGCAGTTTACGTAAACCATGTTAAGTTTGCTAGCCAGCTTTTGATCACTTATAATCCTGGTGAGAGTAGCTGTTTTTCCCGTTCCAGGAGGGCCACTAAAATCAATTAAATGTCAGATCAGATCTGGTTCGCATAACGCAAAACACAACTACTTACCTTATGTACAAACTACCGGAACCATTTTCCGATAAAATGTCTTCAATATACTTTGCCAGATCTTCAGTTTCACGTTCCCGTTCCGGAAGGCATCCAATAGCCGTTAGTTGCTTTGGCTCGTTTCGGCGGTGAAGCCTCCGGAATATCGTTGTTCTTCTTGTTAGGTTAAAACAAAACGTCAGCTATTGTTGGTAAACAAACCGACAGCATTTTTGACAGCATTCCCCCATGCACTCAAAAATATAACTACCCACAAATCTAAAAAACCTACTACTGCGTGCACTTCCATTCTATTACCGAGAACCATGATTTTTCGATAAATTCCTTGCACGCTATTGGTCCTGACCTTTGGGTCCATGATATAAACAGCTAGTACAATAACAGCATACGAAAAAGACAAACTAAAAGGATACAAAAAAAGAAGAACAAAGTATAAAATGAACAAAAAAAACCAATAACAAGACATAGGTCCACTGTAGGAGTTTTGGTTTGGTTTGTTTTGGTCCAGTGGGGATGTCCGGACGGCCGAAAGAATCGATGGTGCTAAATCCTGCAGTATAGCTTCGCCACCTTCAAAAAGCGCAGTGCAGCTGCTTGAGTTGAGGGCACGTCCGCTAGCGTGTCCCGTACGCTGGCAGGCAGGCCGTGGAGGCATCGAAGGTGCTCGAATTGTGGACATACGCATAACACGTGCTCCACCTTCGAAGGAATATGGCAGAATTCACAGGTCTTCCTGAAGGGTTCACCGCTTAAATCTTGTGAGATTAGGGAGTGTCCTGTCCGGAGTCTGGAAAAAATCCTCTGATCTCGCAGGTCTGCAAGGTCCGTCCACTTTCCTGTCACCTTTAATTTTTCTAATAATTGGAAGTCTGGCACTGAACCATTCCGTTGCAAGTTATAATTGGAAGTCTAACACTGAACCATTCCGTTGCAAGTGCAAGTGATCCATCGCTTCACGTCCTGCAACGGTACCTTGTGCGAGTACCGAGGATCCGATGAGCCTAACCCGGCTGTTAAGGATGCAATCCGACAGCTTAAGAACAACAAAACAGCTGGGAAAGATGGTATCGGAGCGGAACTTATCAAAATGGGCCCGGATAAGTTGGTCACTTGTCTGCACCGACTGATAGTCAGGATCTGGTATACAGAAAAGCTACCGGAGGAGTGGAAAGAGGGAGTAATATCAACAATCAATACGAAACTAACGAGTTTAAATTGGCTCACTACTTGACTAGCCTATTGGTCCCAAGCAAACGATTAACGTACCCCATTCTAGTCGAATTTCTAGTACTACACAATGTTTGTTTTGATTCGCTATGAAAGTTTGACAGATAAAATTAGGGGTTAGTGGTTTTTCCTATGTTTCGAGGGGTGAATCGATTAGCTTGGGACCGAAGATAGTACCAGAGCTGAGCCAAAAAGTTGAGCACGTTTCTTCGGGACCTACTAGTCTTAGAGTTACCTCTATGGTAATATGTCCAGTATATCAAAAAGGCAACAAACTAGAATGTGAGAACTATTGAGCGATCACTATTCTTAACGCGGCCTACAAAGTGCTTTCCCAGATCATCTGTCGCCGTTTATCGCCGCCAGCAAGCATATTTGTGGGAAGTTATCAAGCCGGTTTTGTGGACGGGCGATCGACAACGGACCAAATCTTTACGTTGCGGCAGATCCTCCAAAAGTGTCGTAAATATCAATTCCCTCTATGGAAAATTATGGACGAGAACGGTTTTCCCGGGAAGCTGACCAGACTGATCAGGACTACGATGGATGGTGTACAGTGCTGCGTGAAGATATCGGGTACGTTATCGGAGTACCAGAGCTGAGCCAAAAAGTTGAGCACATTTCTTCGGCATCTACTAGTCTTAGAGTTACCTCTATGGTATTACCAACAATCAATACGAAACCACAGACAAACAGACGTAACACTTTGAAAAAGTTTTTCTTGAAAACATAGTATCTCAAAACATAGGACCTCAGTAGCGACATCTTTCAGGCTTCTCGCGGAAAACAAGCTTGCTCGCTAACTCGCAAACAATATTGCATAAAAGTTCTATAGAATGTATAGAAACGTCAGAGTGATCCGATGCCAGCGCTGCGGCGAGTAGTTCGCGGAACTGATAATATTCAAATCAACCGTTAAATGCGTGAACGAAGATACACAATGAAGAGTTACGTCTGTTTGTCTGTGACGAAACTAACGATTTTAAATTGGCTCACTACTTGACTAGCCTATTGGTCCGAAGTAAACGATTAACGTACCCCATTCTAGTCGAAATTCTAGTACTACACAATGTTTGTTTTGATTCGCTATGAAAGTTTGACAGATAAAATGAGGGGTTCATGGATTTTCCTATGTTTCGAGGGGTGCATCGATTAGCTTGGGACCGAAGAGAGTACCAGAGCTGAGCCAAAAAGTTGAGCACGTTTCTTCGGGACCTACTAGTCTTAGAGTTACCTCTATGGTATTACTGCTTACTACGGACTCTACAATACCCTGAGGTCGGGTAAACTTTACCTCCGTACTAAATGTGCGATGTACAAGACGCTGATAAGACCGGTAGTTCTCTACGGGCACGAGACGTGGACGATGCTCGAGGAGGACCTACAAGCACTGGGTGTTTTCGAACGACGAGTGCTTAGGACCATCTTTGGCGGGGTATGTGAGAACGGTGTATGGAGGCGAAGGATGAACCACGAGCTGGCGCAACTCTATGGCGAACACTGTATCCAGAAAGTTGCGAAAGCTGGACGGGTACGATGGGTGGGACACGTTTTAAGAATGTGGGAACGGTCAAGAAATTGCAGACAAGCAGCCACGGATCGAGTGAATTGGCGTAACATTGTGATGCAGGTGCAATCCTGAGTGATGTCGGAACAGGATAAGTAAGTAAGTAAGAGTCTTGTTACTTATTGGTACATAGGAGGGAAGGGGGTCCAAAATTCGGATATTTAGCGGTATGTTATTTAGGTAGCACGCCTTTCGTTTGTTTGTCTGTGATAATTTTAATAACTTTGAAAAAATGTCTCGATGGATAGATTGTTATCTTCGGATAACTTGTAATATGGACTTGGACTTCGTCATTCCTCGCCGATAGCTTGAAGTAGCCGGACGTAGTTCGTTCGTGTCTCCGTTGCGGGTATTGTTTTCGTAGCCGGTGGAGTTTTTTCCCACCATAGTTGTTTTTTTTTATATCGCGCGTTTTACCTACCGTGGACGAAGATCAGTGCCCAAGGCAACCGCAGTCAGCAGAGGAAGTAGCCACCTTTAGCGACGCTATAGGTGGACTATCATCTCACCGTCATCATCTCATCATCACTCCAAAGCAGCAAGCAGCAAAAACAAAGCAGCAAACGGAGTGGCTGCACCAGCTCACACAGCCGGCACCGGCCGGTGTTAAGTATACTATACAATAGTCTTCTCTAGCCCATTGCCGCGCTTTTGTTATAAAATTTTGCGCGTGGCTTTGCCCTCTCCCCTGATAGGGTTGTGAGGACTAGAGTGGTGTAACTTCTTGCAACTAGTGAATAGTTTTTTTTTTTTTGATCATTTTGTTTTTGTTTTGCTTGGTTGTTCATACACTGGGCAACAACATATTAACAACTAGTACTTAAGTAGATTAATTGGTGAAGGGTTTTTTAAGTTTTTTTTCTTCTTTCCTTTTTAAGCGGTTGTGCACAGCTTTTGCTCAACACTCATGGCGTCTTCGGATACCTACGTTGCGCGAACTACATACTACCAACCGTCTTCGAAAAGACCATGGGTTGTCTTTTTTCGGCCTAAAAAAAAACCTTTGAAAACTCTCGAGTTGCTTCAAAAACTCGAAAATCGGAGAACAGGTACAGATACTGGATGTCAGGCAACTGCATTCAGTATCTCTGCAAAATGGCAATGGTTTCGGGTGACTTTCCCTGGTTCAGTTCTCCCAAACTTTGTCAAAATTGATGGTGCTTTTTTCCGGTGCGGTTGTTTGTCAGAGGGTATATAATTGTACCAACTGCAAAAGGCTGGGACACTCAGCCAGCCATTGCGACAACAAAACTCGTTGTGGCAAATGTGATGAAAACCACAAAGAGGATTCATGCCACAAAGAATCAGTAAAATGCGCTAATTGTGGCGAGAATCCTCACCCCTTGCAGGAGTGCTCAATGTACAAGCAGCACTCCGATAAAGTGCAGCATTCAATCTCTGGACGCTCCAAGCAGTCATATGCACAAATGGTGAAGGCTGCATCAACCGTCCAAGATGAAAATCAATTTTCGATTTTGTCAGCTGAAAAATCAGACTCTGACTCATCCGATGAGGATGACTCTACGGTGGTACACGCACCTTTGAAAAACTAACGGATCCTCAAAACGAAAATGCTCCTCCCCGAAAGTGCGCCGTAAGAAAACTAAAGTCACTCCCAGAGGATTGCCAAATTCCCAGGGTAATGGGGATGAAAAAATTAAATCGAAGGCTCCTACTGCTCCACTTCCTGGCTGCAGTAAGAATTTTCCGCCATTATCCAACAAAGAAGAGAAAAACAAAAAAGCTGCTCCTCAAACTTCTCAAAAGAAATCCAAGTCCGAACGAGGTTTGCTAACTTTTTCGGACATTGTGGAATTCATATTAAATATGTTCAACATACAAGACCCTCTTAGAAGCTTAGTTTCTGCCTTGCTTCCAACATTAGAATCATATCTTAAGCAATTGACTGTTTCATGGTCCCTCCTTGGATCTAGTGCCTAAACTAGACTTGTTCAAATTTTTACTTCACAATTCTGAATGTGATATATTTGCTCTTTGTGAAACATGGCTTTCTTCCGATAAAGAACTCAACTTCCAAGATTTTAATATTATTCGCCAGGATAGAGACGATTCTTATGGAGGAGTACTTTTAGGGATCAAAAAGTGCTACCCTTCCTTTAAAATTTCCCTTCCTGCTCTATCAGGCGTCGAAATAGTCACTTGCCAAATAAATGTGAAGAACAAAAATCTTTGCATAGCTTCAGTATATGTTCCATCTAGAACCTCCATTAGCCGTAGTCAACTCTGGAATCCAGTTTCGATTTTTCCATCCCCAGTATTATTTCTAGGTGATATGAACTCCCATGGTACTGGGTGGGGCGATCTATACGATGACA